CATTTTTACAGTTAACAATACACTAATACTTACAATTCAATAATTTTTCATACATTTATTGTATCTTTCAAAATCACACTGTAACAGCTGTCCAAATGTTTGCTTTTCACAGTTGCGTCTTGTGGAAACAGTAGAAAACTGTTTCAATATTTAAACAGCAAGAGATTTATACATATCTGCTGACAATATTATAAAATGCCTCCACTTTTCTTTACCATGTGAAGAGCACACAGTGCCCTGAAGAGATTTGGTACCACTCTCATAGCTGTGCATTAAACACGGAGTTGGAGCCCAGAGACAATCCATTTATCTTAACATAAAGACTGGGACCAGAGTGAAAGTTAAAAAACAAACAAAAAAACGTTTTTGCTTCATCTGTACAATTTAAAATCAAAAATGTATGTTTTTACAATTTAAACAAAGCTTTAGAGGATCTGCATCTTCCAGTCTTTACACTAAGCTACTCGCCTCATTGCTCCAGCTCCATACTTTACATTCAGACACGACACCGATATTGATCTTCTCATCTAACTTTCAGCAAGAAAGCAAAAAGCAAATTTTCTAAAATGTCAAACCATTCCTTTAAGTCTCCTTAAAAAAATAATAATAATAAACAAAAGAAATCATCCTAATGAACATAACATAAAAGCATTGCAATTCTTCATTAGCTTTACAGATACACTGAATTAAAAAAAATTATTCTCACATTACAAGACTTTCCTTCTCTCATTATTAAAACCATTACTATTCTCACTGGAATAGGGTGTCATCTTGGATGTCCATCTCTCATTGGACTTTATGTACATTTTTAACATGTTTTTTCAGGTGGCCTGACTGTGTGAAGTTCTTGGGGCAATGAGGGCAGGAATGTGGTTTCTCCCCTGTGTGGATATATTTGTGCCTTTTCAGGTTGTTGAAGTCTAAAAATCCTTTCCCACAGTATGGGCACCAGTGTCTCTTTTCCCCATTGTGCCACCTTAAATGCATATTTAGTTCCACCCTTCTTGCAAATTTCTTTTCACAGAGGTTGCAATGGAATGGTTTCTCTCCAGTGTGGATCCGTATGTGGGCTTCCACATCTCGTTTTGTGAAGAATCCCTTGTTACAGATCTGGCAGACAAAAGGTTTAATCCTGCTATGCACCATCTGGAGGTGTTTGGTGAGGCCAAAACTGTAGACAAAGCCCTTCCCGCACTGCTGGCAGATATGGATCCTACCATTGCGGTGCACCCGGCCATGCCGTTTAAGACCTTTGGAGTCCGAGAAACGCTTCCCACAAAGCTTGCACGAGAAAGGTCGGCGACCTGTGTGAAGGCTAACATGGCTTTCCAGGGCAGCACTGCTGCTGAGTACGCGGCCGCACTCCCCGCACTGGTTCTTCAACAGACGCCTACCAATGACCGATAAAGGCTGTAATGGCGATACAATGGGTGGTCCTCTCAAAGGTATGGGGTGGAGAGAAACACTGGGGGGGTACACTACTGTATTATTCCGGGATCTTGGAGACCTTGGGGATCTTGTCTCTTTCTTTACAGTTAAGAGAGATGACCGTTTTCCTCCTGTTGGAGGTGTTCTACTGGATGGCAATCGCGGAGGAGTCCACACAGCCGTACATTTTTTCACAGCCTCACAGCTAGCGCGATTCTCTACTAACTGGCTTGTTTTAGCTCCGTTCAGCAATTTCGATTGATTCGATTTTTTTATTTTGGCTATCTTTTTGGCCTTTGCAGCTTTAGCTAACTTCTTAGCATTCACCTCTCTCAAATTCTTTCTCAGACCGGTACCACCTTGATTTAATCTGGGTTTCTTGGCAGGAGTGGATTCCCCAGTATTTCTAGGACTGACACCATCTTTAGCCAATTTAGGCCACCTAACAGTTGGGGAACTACTTTCACACTTAGTGTTTTTAGTACCAACACCATCTGTAGTAATGCTGAACCTCCTAGGACTGAAGGAATTGGATTCTCTTTTAATCTGTGTTGAGCTAGAACCATCTTTAGGTAAGGTACAACTCCTACGGCAGAATGAAGTCGATTCATTTGTAGACATTTTAGGGCTTGTGCCATTTTTATTGAAACTAGATTGGGTCTTTTCAGGACTAGCAGCATCTCTACTTGCACCATCTGTACTTGAACTAGTCCTCTTAGGTCTCACAGAAGTAGTTTTAGTATTGTTAGGGCTACCACCAGTTTTTGTATTTTTGGGGCTAGCGCCATTCCTAGTTGAACTAGTCCTCCCAGGATGCACAGAAGTGTTTTTGGTCATTTTAGGGCTGACAGAGTTTTTAATTGCACTAGATCTCCTAGGATTCACAGAAGTGGATTTTTTATTTTTGGAGGCTACACCATCTGTACCAGTCCTCCTAGGACTCACAGAAGTTGATTTTTTATTTTTGGAGCCTACACCATCGGTACCAGTCCTCCTAGGACTCACAGAAGTTGATTTTGTATTTTTGGAGCCTATACCATCTCTACTTGAACCAGAAATCCTAGGACTCTCAGGAGTGGATTCACTATTAGCATTAGACCTCCTAGAACTGACACAAGTCGGTTCACCAACAATCTTCTTAGGGTTAACCACATCTTTACATAATCCTGATCTCCTAGGACTAATGGAAGTGGGGTCGTTCGTTGTCTTTTTTAGAGATGTAACATCTTCCACTGCTCCTGGCATTTCTGGGCTTACAGTAATAGGTTCACTAGTTGTGTTTTTATCATTTGGACTGTGATTCTCTAATCTAGGTTTCTTTTGGCTTGCAGCGGGATTTGTTTCTGCACGTGATGCTAGATTTGTTTCACTTCTTCTAGCTTGCAAGTGGGGTTTGAGGTAACTTCGGAGTCTGGACATTTTTTGTAACCTTTCCTTGTCACTGGTGCTGGTCTCCGCACAGGAACCTCTGGCACTTACAGAGTCATTAGAGGTGGCCTATAAAACAAGGAAAGAAGAAAAATAAATGTTGCAAAGCAATCACAATACTTGTTGCAGTAATTTCAGTTAAATATGATAAAAAAAAAAAAAGAATATTAATTTAATATTCAGTATAGCTATATAATTTGCAAATTGGACACATTTCAGAATCTCTCCCTCAGTTTCAACATAACTTGCATAAAGATTTAACATAACTAAAAATGTGGTCAACCACCTAGCCGCTGTGTGCCTTCCTCAAAAAGGTGAGTAACAAAACAATTAATCAATAGTCACATTCTTCATTAAAAGGTACCCACTACAGGCTGGCGGCTGTATGTGTAGTAAGCAAAACAAATATTAAATTTATCCACACGGCACATTTACCACTACATTACCTTTTTTGGATCTTGTACAACAGGTGACACTGCCAGCTGTGCCAGAAACTGTGCTTTAGTCATCTGCAAACGAGGGTGAGCTGAGTCCTTGGGAGTGACAGAGGTTAGATGAATGATGGCAGAAGATTGTTTTTCTTCAATTGCTGGGTCATTAGGTAACGCACAATCTTGCACTGCAGGGCTGATCAGTTCCTCGTCCAAATCAGAAGTAGGTTCACCAGCTGTACCAGATATAGCTGAAGGCTCAGTCACGTTAATAGCTGGTGCTGACACTTCGGATGATGTAGATGGCTGCACATTCTTGCTGTTGGGGGACTCTTCCAAAGTGGTGCAGTTTTCAGAGGGCAATGATGCCTTCTCTTGAATATCATTTGGTTCTTCTGACATTTGAGAGGTTTTTACAGAAACAATAACTGGAGATTCTTTTAAACTGGGACAAATGTCAGTGGATAACACAAGTGTCTCTGATGGTTGTGTAGATATGACCACAGATGATGGTTTCGCATGTGTGGTACCTTCATTCAAAATGGACTGAGTTGTAGAAGATCCATTTGTATGCAGTTTTGAGACTAAGACTGATTCTTCAGTTGAAATTGGAAATGGGAGCCTGGTTAATCTGACCACAGCAGATTGTTCTAAAGTTGGTGGTACCGCTGGAGTCTTGGAGGTTGGCACTAGCCCAGCTGACTTTAAAGTGGAACAGGTTTCTGTAGGGACATTTATTGTTTCAGAAGCAGAGGCAGTTTGTTTGGGAGAGTCCAAGTTGTCCGATGCATCAACCTTCCTTTGAGACAATATTGTGACCACTTCATCTGAAGCGGGTTGTGTATCCACAGAAACACTTAACTCCTGTGATGAAGAGACCAACTGCGACGATGACACTTTAACAGGAGCAGATGATTTGGCTGACTCCTGCTTTGATGTCGGAACAGTCGTCTGTGATTGACAGTTTGTTGGTGCCACAACTGACACCTGTCTTGGGATTATAATTGTTATTTTTGGGGGTGGTAGAGTCCCAGACTGTGGGTTTGTTGATGTGCTGGTCGACGGTGAAGACGAAAGCGGCTTGCTGGTCGTAATATATATTGTATTCTGAGGAACAGAGGAAAAGGAGGGTTTTCCGAGAGGTACGGCTGCAGCTTTAGAGCCTGAAAGTATCCTACTATTCTGTGTAGCAACAGCTGTTGAGACCGCAGGAAGCCGGGCGGGAGGCTGTGCTACAATTTTATGAGGCATTAATGAGGGTACTGATCTTGACACGACAATTATTTTATGAGGCATTGTGTTAGTCAGTTGACTGGTCGATACTGATGTTAATAGAGGAAGGGGAGAGCCCAACTGTGATTGCACACTTGTTTGAGTTGCAGAAGTTGATGAAGGCATTATAGATGTGGTAGTATTGGATACAGTGACCATATGCTGTTTTGATAGGACAACATTGATGTGGGCCAGAGCTGCATTGGTTGGAGTGGCATCTGTAGTCTGAGGAGCGGCACTACGTTTCTTTATTGTCGACTGTGTTGTGGACAGCTCAGTTATGGGTAGATTGCTTGCAGCTCCAGGAGTTCCAACAGGAGATGCTGGAGTTTTTTGTTTAGCTGGGACCTCGTTCATAATTTGTAAGGTACCCACACTTGGAGAACACTGGGTTTGGGGTGGTGCTGCCATTCTTTGTGGAACGGAGAATGTATTTTCTACCGTTGACTGATTCATGGCTTCAACTAATAACATTGCATCCTGAAGAGTTACAGAGGTGCGGCGTTCTCTGGGATGAACAAACTCAGCTGATGAAGTGTTTAGTGTTTCAACTATAGAGGAAACTTTAGTGGATGGAGCCTGAAGGTCCCCTTTTTTTATTTCTGTTGAAGGTTGTGGAGATTTAGATGTTTTTTTCTTTTCAGAGGAACATCTTCTACTGAAAGATGCTACCGAAACCGCCAGGGTATCAACCTTATTGTGCTCTATGTCTTTTACAGCAGTGTTTGCTTTCTCCCGGACTGATGAAGTGATAATGGATGAAGCTTCTTTAGGCTGAACTGGGGATGCTTCTGGAGGCTCGGATGAAGTGATGTTCAGTGTACCAACCTCAATCTCTTCCACTGTTGTTGTAGGGGGATTTTTCACTTCTTGCTCTGTTGCAATATAAGATGATGGTGACTGAAGGATTTTTTTCACAGACTGTTGTTTTGCTTTCTTTGGTGGCCGTCCTCTTTTGCGTCGTACTGGCAAGTCAGGCTGGGAACTAACCTCAACTTCTGCCACGTCATTTTTTAATTTATCCCAGGCTTCTCCTTTGTTGAGTGGCGTGGATTGTGCCAACTGTTCCTCTGTAGATTCCACTACTGCACACTGCTGCAGAGTAACATCATTTTTCTCATTTACTTCGTCCTCTCTTTGATATTGTTGAGGGACCACCAATGGCTGCTCTTTTTCAAGGGGTTCAGCCTCCGATTTATACTGAGCAACCATTAATGGGTGTTTTTCAGATGGTATGAGTTCTCCCTGTGTCCCAATTTCTGATATCTTCAGACCGACTTCAGACTCTTCTTCAATGTCATCTTTAATTGCAGCGAGTGAGATGACTAATGAATGCTCTAGCTCAGAAGATTGGCTCTGGGCTCCTTGTAAACCACTATCCATTCCCAAACAAGGTGATTTTAGGGCCACTTCGGTCTCTTCAACTTTTTGAGGCAAGGGCCCACAAACAGAGGCCTGTGGTGAATCTAGGCACAGCAGTGAGAGAGACATCACATAGGAAACAGGAGAAGAAAAAAAGAAAACAAAGGTGAGAATGGTGCTGGAATCCTTAACAAAAGGTTGTGGGTTTCTTAATTCTTAATAATCTTACAAATTATTAGGGCTGCCCCCTAATAGTTGACTAAACAATTCGTCACTGAAAAGATTCTTAATCAACCAACCTTTCATTAGTTGGTTAGTCACAGAGCCTGCCCTTTGTCAAACTCCATTCGGAAACTGCAGCTTGTCACCAGGACTTAAGTATCTGTGGATTGTTGCAACACAGACCTTTTTCTTGTAACACAGCATTCACTTACTGGCACTGTACCAACTGTACTAGACGCAAGTAGCAAGTTAGTGGTCCCATTGGCTGACTGTACCCGGACTAAGTTTGTCTACACCGCCCGCACAGGAGCTTTGGACCATCGGGAGGAGGAGGTTTTCATGCCCAGGGTGGGGTAAGCAGTAGGGGATGCTACTGAAGAGCGGCGCCGGAAAGTGTGGGCAACTGTAACAGTCTCAGCAGTCTCTCAGTAAGCATGGCCGGATCAGGACCAAACACAGTCTAAGATGCCCGACGGAGGCCCGTCTGACTATGACAGTAGGGCAAAAAAAGATTCCTCAAGTAACTTGTGTACTAAAAATTATTTATTCAAATTATTTGCATCGAGGCTTGGTTTAATCCATATAACTATATACATCTCACTGTGTTTTGCATGGATGATTATTACTGTCGAACAACGCACTTAAGCTTTGTGTGATCAGAGACTGTTCAGAGTGTCTTTGGTGTGATTTGACAGTACGCAATATTCAATAAATGTTGGATTTTATTCACTTGAAACATACAGGAATGCATGAAAGAGGTTTATTTTGTTGAGGAAAAAGGACTGGAAAGAGCTTCTACTTGTGTTTTTTACTAATATTTACTCGTGAAAATTTGTTGAAATTTTTTTTATCATAATTGTTTTGAATGTTCTACCTCATCTTTGTGAAGTGATGCACTGTTTGGCCTCAAGTGTTGCCCATAAAGAGTTCAAACCACAATTAACCATCAGGTTTCTTCAACTAACTCACTCAGAGGCAAAAATCAGCCTTTAAACTCGAAAAAACAATTTGATACTTATCGTGATAATTATCGATATCGAAAGATATGAAACTTTTTATCATGATAACATTTTTGTCCATATTGTCCAGCCCTAACATCATCCATCATGTTGATAACTCCGTGAAGATTTGTTCTTGTGAAGATGGAAGTTATCTTTTCCCGTGTTTTGAATGACACGTGTACTGTGTTGAAAATAAATTGAAATAAATTCAAATGTTCAGTCTTCTTGCTGGTTGTTTCGACAAATTCAGAATCCTAACCACTTTTGAGGTTAGCATTATCGTAAATGGGCGGCTTGCATCACGCCCATTGTAAAATATATATTTTAAAGGCTCACTATTACGGTTTTTATCTGTAATATAGCCCAGTGTAAACAATGTGCGATGACTAGTTGACTTATGGATTGAACTAACAACAAGTAATCGACCACAACATTTTTTGGGACAGCCCGACAAATAACTTTAGTTTAATTTTTAATTCCTCACCTGCTTTATCGCTCAAGACTTGCCCACAGACGACAGCGGACTCAACTTCCTCTTCCTTCAAGACAGACTGCAGAGAAGAATCATCGTAAGAGTCACGTAAAGGGGTGGCAAAAAGTCCAATTTTGAGTAGACTCAAATGGGAAAATAAATGTATTTGCTGTTAAGATACACGCACCTCCTGTTTTACCAGTATAAATGCCATTTGAGAATTTTCTTCTCCATACGTGTCATTGTTGTGCCCCTGCAAAGCATACTCCTGATAACCGCATCGTTGCTCTTGGTTTTGCAATGATGAGTGCCTCAATTGTTGACATTGCTCAACCAACATCATGCGTACAGGAACAAGGTCTGTAAACAAACACACAGAAAACAGGACAACTGGTCATTTTTTAAGACTATGGTCTTCAAAAAAAAGGTACTATAACTTAAACTGCTGAATCCACAAATGCTGTTTGTTTGGACTTCAGGCTGCTTGATTATGGCAAAAATCACAATTACAATTATTTTGGTTAATATTGAGAACGATTAATATGATGGAAGCATAATGAATTTATTTAACTGTCAATTTACTGAAAAGAAAATGTCTAACAGTGGCTTTATATGAACTTTAAATTTAATTCAACTGAAAAACAACAAAAAAAAAGTATTTCTTCTTACCACCACCACCAGGGCTAAACCATTAATCATTTTCAAATCGAAACTGCGATTTCAAAGAACACGATTAGCTAATCATGAAAACTGCGATTAAAATGTAGTTACAGCGCATCTGACCCAATTGTTGATTTTAATTGTTCTTTATCTTCTGTGAAAGCACATTGTACTCTGATAAGTGCTCTACAAATAATAGCGGTGCGCCGATCAGGATCTTTTGGGCCGATCACCGATTGCTGAAAGCAGTATCGGCCGATACCGATCACTGGGTCTATTTGGAGCCTTTTATTTATCGTGTAGCATTATACAGTATACTGTATATTTATTTAACTGGTCCTAAAACAATGTATTAAGTGTTAAAGTTAACATATGATAAAGTATCATGAAATGCCAACTGTTTATTTTATTGCCAGGAAACATGGGCAACAAATTCAGCTCAATCTGTCTTAGAGACTTAAACCATAGCAGCCTTTGCCTGGTTACTGTGAACATGTTATAACTTAAATATAGCTTTACTGTGGAATAAACTACAAAAACAGAACAAACAGCATCTTTATAAATTTACTACAACCATAAAAACTGCAACAAAAAAGGCTGTAGCCAAAATATTTAGGAGATAAAGAAGCACAGGCATCATGATTCCCTTATGAAAATAAGGAAAATTTAAATAAATAAAAGTACAATTTAAATTCCATATTATACTGTTAGTATATATTGTTATTACTTAGCCTACTATATTCATTATAATTTCAAACGGTTTACCATTATTAGGCTATAGGCCTTATATCATTTCAGTGGATTGTTTTCATTTTTTATCCTTGTGCACGAAGCACAGTCTACATCTTTTATATACTGCTGCCGACTTTACCAAAGGAGACAGTAGCAAACACTTTAAATACGGCCAGAGGGTTTTTATTTGATTTTGTAAAAGGTTTAAAATATGGGAGATTTACAGGGAAACATTTAACGGGAGGATACCGGGTGAGAACGGAAAAATATGGGGAGAATCTTGGGGGAAAAGGGAGGGTTGACATGAGAGGAGTAGAGAGAGGAGTGGGGTAATGTGAGGCTACATCCACTGCTACGGTTTTAAAACACTCATCTAGTGGCCGTTTAGGGGTAGCCTTTACTGGGCATGCGCGTGCCAGTGTAAACATGAAGCAGATGGTCTACTCCGCAGTAGCAGACGATTTAGCGAAAGAAGAAAGTAATACAGACGAAGTACCACACTGGGCATTTTTTTTGCATTGACCGACAACGGCGTTGAACTGTTACTGAAAGTAACACGGGAGTACAGAGAGACGGCAGCGGAAAACAGACTGGGAGTTGTCGCAAAGTAAATGCAGCGACATGCATAGTAGGCTAACTGTTAAGTGTTTTACACAGTACATATATATATATAATACAATAACAAAACTAAAACTCTGTAAGTAGTATCGTGTTTTTGCTTTGTATGACTGATAAGACCAACTCACAAAGCCAAATTCAGATTCACTTTATTAGCCATTTGCAGTATAAAACCACATTGGAAAAGAATATGCAAGAAGCTTAAAGTGCAATGTCAAAGACCTAACATAAAACAGACAAAAAAATGTGAGTGTGTGTTATCGTTTATCTGTTTTGTCCACCGGGTCAGCAGTGTTTTCAAACAAACATCTTCTGATTCACTGTTTTAATCTGGATGGGAGGCGTTTTGTAATGAAAACAGAGCGAGAGAGAGGCAGTGAGGCTCTGTGAGTGGCGCTGCTCTTTGCATAAGGAAACTCACACTGAAGGATCAGTCCGTCTCTGCCTGATGCGCTGAGTGTCTATTATACTCCGGTTGCGGGTGGCGTGTGTTTGAGATGAGCACAGCCGCAACAGTTTCACATGATCGCTCATGAGCGACACACACACACGCCACCCGCAACAGTTTCACATGATCGCTCACGCATGTTGTTCCACTTGTCTGATTGCTGCTCAACTCTAAATGTAAATGATTAAGTGGGTGCATTAATCCCTTCTTGTCTGAGAAGGACTCTGCTAGCTAGCTTTGAAAACCGCTCAGACCGTGTCGTGAAACATTCTAGCTGCCGTTGAAAATTTGTCTGTCGAGTATTGCATCATCTGATTGGCTTTTCTTATAGGCCTTTTTAGCGACCACCGATCAAAGTAGTTAAAGCCATTATCGGCTGATTACGATTGGTGACCGATCGATCGGAGCACCCTTAACAAATAGTTATTATTCAAGTCTCCTCCCTCTCTTAGTGCTGCACTTGGGTCTGCTAGCCTAGCCACCAAAGTTTTGGTAATAAAAACTTGTTTTAGTTAGCCTACACTTAGAGAATAAAGCAACAGAGCTCTCTCTCACACAGTGAACAATGTTACTTTATTAACCGATAGACATTGTAATGATTAATTCATACAATAAAGAACTGATTTATTTTCTCCTTGTAACATTTTAAATATCTTAATATAATTGTTTTATTTGATTTTCCCAGTAAACAGATAGAGTGCTATTTGCTGCTGCATTTTTAAAAATACAAAGACAGGGCGGAACTTGTTGCAGATATTGATTGGCTTATACAGTAACTTAGCCTATAACGCTGAATGTGACCGCTCCCACCCAGTCATGCGGACTGTGTGCGGACTGATTCCAGCTCCCATTGATTGCACACTGGGGCTGGACCGGGACTAAACACAGCCTCAGAGACTGACATAGGCCAGTCTGACGACAGGGAATACAGTGCCAAAGAGATTTTCTTAAGGAGTTTGGCTCTTGGTACCGGGTTTTGGGCTGACTAAGCTAACAGGACCGCTTGCTGCACGTTTAACCGAGCTAACTAGCTACAGATACAGCTAGCGGTTTAGCAAAAAGCAAAGCTGTCTGTCCACCAAGAAAATCTGTACTGTCATCCCTGTTGGTCTTTGAGGCTGTATTCGGCCCCGTTCATGCTGCGTTCACTGGGAGATTGATCTTGGCCGAGCTCCCAGTCCGGCCTCAGCCAGCTATGACCACTAACATTAATTGCACGGAATAAAATTATAAACACCACTTTTGTTTTTGCCCCCATTCATCATGAGCTGAATCAAAGTCCTTAAATGCAAGTCATGCCACTCGGCAGCCATCTTGGCAACGCCTCCAGGCAGCTATTTTGGACTAACAAGACCAGGCTCCTAACTGAATGAATGGGGAGAGAGCCAGAACTGCACTTTCACTGGTCACCAGGACATAAAAACTACATGACTAGAATCAGCAGTAAAATCTGATAAATGCTGAAAAAGTTGGATGACTTGGTCCCAAAATAAGGTTTAAAAAGCTATTTTTCCAACCGGTTATATTTCTACTACGCATGCGTCACCTCTTCCACGCATGTGCAGTAGAAGTAAAACAGACCCTTACGTCAGTGGCACATTTGCGAGTGGCCTTTTATTGTGGCCAGCCTAAGGCACACCTGTGCAATGCCCATGCTGTCTGATCAGCATCTTGATGTCGACCACAAAGGGTCAAAATCAATGGTTGTATTTCAGATGAGTTGTATGTTGGCACTGGTTCACCGCAGGGGTGTATCTTGAGCCCCCTATTGTTCACATTGTATACTCATGACCTTGAACCATCCATTGCTAATAATGTGATAATCAAATATGCCGATGACACAACTATCATTGGGCTGATTAGTTCAAACGATGAATCTCATTATCGTGAGGAGGTGGAGAATGTTGTTGAATGGAGCAAGGAAAATATCTTGCTTTTGAACACTTCAAAAACATGTGAACTTGTTGATTTTTGTCACAATAGGAATCAAGTGCCTATTACTATCCATGATTCCGATGTGCAGATTACTGAGAAATGTAAATTTTTGGGTGTGACTCTTTCGCATGATTTGAACTGGAGCTCTACTACGACTAATATTGCTAAGAAAGCGAGACAGCACCTCTTCTTTTTATGTAGGCTTCGAGAGTTCACTCAAATTACTAAAGATTCTTTTGAACTTTTACTATTGTGTAATTGAGAGTGTCCTAACTAGTTGTATTACTGTGTGGTTTGGTAATCTCACCTTGAAAGAGAAGAAGGCTTTGAACAAAGTGGTTTGCTCAGCCAGCAGGATCATTGGCTGTACTTTGCGGCTCCTGGAGGTTACATATAAAGCCAGAGACTTTTGAATCGAGCTTTAAAACTTGCTAATGATGCTTTAGGCCATCCTGCAGGGGCCTTCTTTGAGATGCTTCCCTCAGGGAGAAGGTATCGCTCTGTCAAATGTTCTACTGATCGCCATTTCAACAGTTTCTTTCCCCAAGCTGTGATCACTTTAAACAAAGCACTTTAAATTAGGCACTTTATATCTTATGTATGGATTTTATTGTATAGTGTTTTACTACTGAGTTTTATGTGGCGTTATTTCTTATTATGTGGTGTCATTGCACTTTGGGCTTCTTGCATATTCTTTTCCAATGTGGTTTTATACTGCAAATGGCTAATAAAGTGAATCTGAATCTGATATGCCACACCTGTGAGGTGGCGTGATTATCTCAGCAAAGGAAAAGTGAACAATATTTGAGAGAAATAGGCCTTTTGTGTACACAGAGAAAGTCTTAGTTCTTTGAGTTCAGCTCATGATAAATGGGGTCAAAAACAAAAGTGTTGCATTTAGAATTTTGTTCAGTGTAGCAACAAGTAAAGCCATTTGTTCATCAGCAAACTCTGTAAATCACAGAGAGTTGAGGCAGAGCTGCTGGGAGACATGGGCTGCAGATCGTCCAGCCCTAGGAGTCAGCTGTAAATTTTTTGTCTACACTTTGGGCCCGTTAGTATTAATCTGGCATTGTTTAAACGCGACAGCCTAGTATTGTCACTGACCATGTCCATTCCCAGTGTACCCATCTTCTGATGGCTACTTCCAGCAGGTTAATACACCACGTCACAAAGCTCAAATCATCTCAAACTAGGGTTGGGCCGATAGACGACACGCTGACAGATGGTCGATGGCTGAGCAGGGGATTGTAAAAAACACCACAGGTAAACACACCGGCTTGCCCCGCCACTCTGTCTCCTCACCTGTGTACTCCACTTTCTGTATCAGCAGTGGCCTACGTTTTATAAAGTCGCCTAAAAAACACAGACCGTCTTTTTTCCATATGTTTCCACCCGTGATCCATTATCACAGCAGCAGGTGAGCCGCTTATGGGCTTGTTAATGACAAATCAAACAACCGAAACCAACATCTGCACACTGTGTGTTCACTGCCGCTTTACCTGGTCCGTGCTTGTAACGTCATAGGCTACCAAGTTTTTAACCGAGTGAAGCGAAAGAATACATGCACATGAGACGACCGGTATCCCCTCTGCACGCATGTGCGCTCCCCCGATGCCGTCGTCCATCTCGATGTTTCAGTGTAGACATAGTCCGATGGAAATTTTGTAGACAACGCCCAACCCTATCTCAAACTGGTTTCTTGAACATGACAATGAGTTTCACTGTACTCCGATGGCCTCCACAGCCACCAGATCTCAATCCAACACAGCACCTTTGGGATGTTGTGATTTGGGAGATGGATGGTCAGCAGACAAATCTGCAGCAACCGCGTGATGCTATCATGTCAATATGGACCAACACCTTGTTGAAAGTACACCACAAAGAATTAAGGCAATTCTGAAGGGGGTTCAACCAGGTACTGTGGTACAAGGTATACCTAATAAATATAATATAATATTAATATAATAATAAATTAAAATAATTACGATTTTCGTATAATCGAGCAGCCCAACTGTGATAATGTTCGAGAGTGGTAAATTCCTGTCTGAGTATTATACACCTCTGTGCAGTGCAGCTATAAAGACTTTTGATTTCCAACGTGGTCCAGACAACATGTCATATACCAATTTTTGTAGCTTAACAAGACCCTTACAATATATGCATTCCTGTCACAATTAACAGAAGTACTGCAACCAAGCAGGATCCTCTGGGTCTAAAATGTCAAAACAATGTGGAAGTGCCTTAAACCTGCATTCTTTCAAACGGCCAGCAGGGGGTGACTCCATTGGTTGCAAAAAGAAGTCCAACTGCATGATCGCTAGTTGCAAGTCTTCTTCAATACAGCATGATGTTCATTTAGGTTATTATGGTCCCTTTTTGAGGATAAGAGATGACAAAGCAGGGTATGTTTTAGGGTGTGTCTATAGCCACTTTTCCACTGCATAGTACCAGCTCAACTTGCCCCCTTTTTTTTGTTTTTTCCATTGTGGAAAAGTTGTACTTGTACCTGCTATCGGGTACTTTTTTCATATCACCTCCATCTTATCTGTCTTTACATTCTGAGTAATGTTGAAACTAGGGCTGTCAGCATTAACGCGTTAATGGAGATGAGATTAAGGACTGATCATAACGCGTTTTAATTGTGTTAATCGCGTGTGTCACTGGTGCTGTTACCAAAGAATCTTTGCTAAAAAGATCTTTGGCTGCTACTATTTTGACCCTTCGATGCACCCTTACTTGTCTTCATGAGCCACAGACACTTCCTACCTCCTGCTGCAGCCATGGAGATGAACAATAACACAGTCCCAGACGGCTCCGTTGACAAGTCAAAAGCAGTATGCACCTTGTGTGAAATGGAATTAAAATATCATCAAAGCACTTTGAGGTTAAGCTAACATTACCATCAATGAGCTTAGCATACAGCTAATCAGGACTGAGGCCAAGCACTGTTTTGGAGTGCCCAAGTTATATACATTGACGTTGCGGGGGACAATTGTTGCACGCATACATAGCCTGTATGAAACGGAGAAAGAAGTCAAACTGAAACTCTTACTTAAAGCAAGTGCTGTCTCATTGGTTTCAACTGAATTCAAATATAATGTAGCTATGGAGTATTTTGTTATGCACTTTATAATAATGTGTCTACATTTTGTACATGCACTTTTGCTGTAGAATTTTTGAAAGCAAGCTTAAGGAAGACTATATTTCATTTACATTTCTCGTTGCACATCTTTTGATTTGAAATAATCAAATAAATCCTAAAGTCAAGTTCAAAAACTAACTTTCTATGCATTAATTGTTAATACAGACTTAAAACAGTTAAGATATATTATAATAATAATAAAACATGCGATTAATCGCGATTAACTATTGAAATTCAGTGCTCAATCGCAAATTAAGAAAAAATTCATCGTTTGACAGCCCTAGTTGAAACGTTTTAACTTAAATCTCAGCTGTATGTGCGTCGCGACAGTTGTGTGCGGCGGCACTATGACGACCAGCTACATTGAGGGGTACTCTCTGCAATGGAAACCTGAGGACGGCCAAGCCGAGTCGAGGCAAGTTGAGCTGGTTCTGGTAATGGAAAAACGGCAGAAGAAGTGGGGAACGCTGATGTGTTTGCAGCAGAGGTACGTTAGGTCTGTGAGTGTGAAGAGAACTGAAGGAGGCGAATTCAATAAGTGAGTGATGCTTAAGATTGAGAATGAAGTATAATTAAAACAGTGAAATAAGAAACAAGCTAAGCTACTAAAAAAAACAGTAAAAACAAGTCCGCTATAACAGCTCCCTCCCCTTCCCTCTTAGCAGAAAATATAATAATATATTTTATACCGGAATTCTGCCTAACAGTACTGGGATTTGACTTTTTGGCCATATCGCCCAGCCCTAGTTGCTATGACGACCAGCTACATTGAGGGGTACTATCTCTGGGTACTATCTGCAATGGAAAACGGAGGAGGGTGGGCCAAAACTGAGTAGAGTTGAGGCGAGCTGGTACTGGTAATGGAAAAACAGCATATCTGGTGATTGCCACGTTGCTATCATGGAGACCTGTCATTCATGATAGAGGCTACTCGTATACACTGCACTGTATACATTTAACCAGCACCGTTGAAAAAGCTCATAAAAGGAGAAGGCTGTCCATTTTTTTCCCCCCGGTAAGTACATTTTGTTTTACAACTGTTTTTTTCCATTAGCCAAAATTAGCATCCCAGTTAATATCAGTTACCGTGAATTACCAATGCACCTTGATAACCAAGCTGGCTAGTTAAATACGGCCACATCTGGTTCCAAAGAAAACAAGATGACGATAGCCAAAATGCCAAACTCAAGGCTTCAAACAGTAGTCCATAAACCAATGGGTGACGTCACGGTGGCAATGTCCACTTCTTTTATTCAGTCTATGATTGCAACTCAAGATGGCTAGCTAGCTGTGTGTTAAATGTGAGAAATACAGATCAATACATACCCACTAGGTCAATACACCAATACAGGCCTGGTCTGTACTGTATTGAAAGTAATTACAAATTTAAATTGCAATGGCAATACTGATCAGACTACACTGCATGATCCAGCCCCAATATCACATAGCATTTCTTAAATGTTTCTTTCATTAAGAGATTTTTTATATGATGAAAATAAAACATTTTCATTGTCACCTGTTTCAATTCAACAGCATGTAGCTTCACCCAGTGTTGAAGCCAAATAGATCTGAAATTACAGTATTGAATCTAAGGCATACAGTTAAATTGAGAAGTCAAAATGGTAAAAGCATGTATAATGTGAAGGGATCTTGTATTTGAATTCTCTTTGTCAACAGTAGCACTATATAAAATCAAAATGCCACTTCCTGAAATAGTTGTTGTAACACAGTGTTACTAACCACACCGTTAGCTGAGATAGCATAGTATGGTTTCCCTCCCAATTGCTCTCCCATGCTGTAGACTAAGCTAGGCTATGCTAAAGCTACTGACCACAGACTCACAACAATACACAGGAACTGCCACGGGTATCCCGTATAACACAACTACACTCAGTTTTGGCTAAAACAACACACTGAATCATCAGGCAATTATATTGTTTAGGATTAACGTTACTAAGCTAATGGTGGGTACGAGGCATCACAACTCACCACATTGAACAGCGGTGTCACGTTTCTCTGAGCCCAGGCTGCGCCCTGGAAGAACCTCACTTTCTGTGTTAAAAGTCTGTTGGCTCCTCGAACCCTCAAACTGGCTGCATCTTGTTTTGAGGTCCTCGTTCTCCTCCTTCATTTTGGATATTTCTGCCTTCAGCTCGTCGACCATAGTTTCGAAAAGTTTCGTGGTCTCTGCGACAGCACTCCTGAGCATGCTCTCCATGACAGAGGCATACTTCGACTGGAAATCGTCCGCCGACATTTTGTCAATGGTTATAGTCCGTCCAAGTTTCGATTTGAATCAAAATTCTTACCATACACTTATTGTAAATTGATTAAAAACATGGTATCAGGAGCTGCCTCAACATGGCTCCTTCCCATGGACAGACGCGGCCTCGGCTTTGTGTGACGCACATCGACTGAAGGAGGGAGTTGAGCAAACATCCGGTGAGCCACTAAAATCCCAAACTGTATCTTTTGAATATTCAATTTGCAAGGAGACAATAAACTGGAACTTGAGTGGAAAATGACCACAAATACACTATGGAGTATTTTTGACCAGGAAGCGTCATTCTGTTACCGACGTCCACGCGCTGAAACGATTAAGATTGTCCCAACACAGGACCTGTATTTTCAATCACTCGGAAGTGCGGTTGTTTACGGAATCAGGAGGAAATGCAATAGCTCAACTGGAAACAAAGTAACGTTAGGTTACAGCAAAGCAATTGAATTCATTTTACTACCAAATCCACCTTGCAGTAAAGCTAAATTATAACCAGATTACATATGGTAATTGCTTGTTTCCGACAATTACTTATCTCATAGTGGTGGGAATCTGTCACGTTAACCCTGAAAAAAACTAGCGCAGCAAAATAGCTAGCTAATGTTGACATTACAAGCGACTCTTCAGTTTGTTAAACACTAGGTTTGGTGTGATGGAAGTAACCAAACGGTAAATATGGACCAACAAATACATATCTACAACATGTTTAAGTTTACCTCCACTGAGTTAAACCGAGTTTAAGAAACTGGCACGTCCAGTTTAAAGAAACCGACGTTAGCTTTGCCCGACAAATGCCTCTCCGCTACAGTCTTTGAAGTGCCAGCCGCAAGTTGCCTTCTCTTCAGTTTGCTGAAAATAAAATACTGCCCTTAGTTAGCACACACTGTTGGTATAATGGCCGAGACCATAGTAACGTTTCAGTCCCAACTCTCTGGTGTAATGGAAACGGTCTTCAAAGCTGCAATGTACGAGATCACCCGGCTGGTGGAGGACAGCTTTTTGGAAGAGGTGACACGGTGCAGGGACCAGGTCGAGTCGCTGAAGAGGCGACTGAAGTGGTCGGAGAGTCGACGTAAAGAAAAAGACGGTGACAGGAGGGGGAGATGTATTGACTGCGGAAGAGTCGTTGGGTCCGGTGAGGAAGGACCCAGAGTGACAGGTGAGTCTGCCTGCTGTCTAATGTTGTATCAATAGCGTTATATAGGTGAATATATGTACACTTGCTTTTTTTTATGAATTATACAACCAAATTTAATTGATTACCTAACTTGGGGGAAAACCATTGTAGGAAATTAATTCACATTAGATGAAGTCAACAGTGGTCCTCTGCAAAAGCTTTAAAGCAGTCAATATTTATAAATTTAACAATGAATCAAATTAGTACATGTAATGTGAAGGTGTTGCTTGTACTGACAAACTCTCAGATATTTACCGCCCAACTCTTCAGGTCTCCTTAGCTCTACAGAGCATTTTATCTCGTTCAGTGTCACTGTTTTGTTCACTCTATCCGCTCTCATTAACTTTCAGCAGCAGCAACTGTACATTACCTGCCCAGCACTAAAAGGCTGGCACACAAACACTGACATATTATCATCTTCAAAAGTGATTTGGACTTGTGTTACTGTCCACCTGGTGAGTAGTTCAATGTTTCTCTCCTTTTAGCTCTGTGTTTGGTCTGTAGTAACTCCTAAGGGAAGTCTGTGAAGATTCTCAGTCATTCAGGTCATAGTTATCCAAAGAAGGTTAAAGTCATGGGCGACTGGACTTGGTTGAAGATACTAGAACACGTTTCGTTCCTCATCCAAAAGACTTCTTCAGTTCTGACTGACTGGTAGGGAAACTTCATCACTTCCCAGGAAACTCAACAAATTGGCCTCAGGTGAGGATGCCAATGGTGGTCGTTCAGTCTTGGCCTTGGGTAGTCCTAATGACCAAAACAGCCAGGAACACTAACGACCAGCGATATCGACGATCCTGGCAAACGATCCCACAGAGGTTAAATAGCTTAGTTTCCCTACCAGTCTGTCAGAACTGAAGAAGTCCTTTGGATGAGGGACGAAACGTCTTCTGGTATCTTCAACCAAGTCCAGTGGCCCTTGACTTTAACCTTCTTGGGACTCCTGAGGGAAACGTCTGTCTCTTGAGCTGCTAAATGCTCCCCTAAGTGCACCAGTTAGTCACCGCTGTTTGGTGCTGGGCAGGTAGTGTACAGTGGGTTTTTTTTAGCTTTTCGTTGACTTCAGCTGCCTGTTGTGGCTGAAAATGATCTGTGAACCTTTGTAGAGCTGAGGGGAGCTGCAGATAATTCTGTGTGGGTTCACCACTACACGCGTGCCCTTTCACATAACCCATAGTCATGTCTGTTGTTATTATTAAAATATTGATTACTTAGATGGAGTATGACCCACCTCAGCCTTTCTAAATCTTTCAAATGCAAATGGAAATACTAGCACATGCTCCAGTTTTTCCCTATCTTCTGCTACAGAGAAAAGTCTTAAACAAGAGTGTGTGCTACAAGAAGAGATAAATAGCTCCCTGTGCACTGATGGAGAGACACCTAGGCATGAAGCAGAGGAGACCCACAGTGCCATGAAGGCACCACAGGTAGATGACAGTTGATTACACTATTTGAGCTTCAATATATTACGTTTAAATGTTTAAAACGTGAGTACAGTCAATGGCAATTTCATTGGACTTGTAAGTAGAGTGTCGAGTAAACTTAATAATATTTTTTCAGTAGTCTCTATTTTGTGTAAATTCTCAGTGCTTTTGCATTAAAGGAGACCTGCCTGTTGAACTAATGCTAATCTTATTGTTTCTCTTGAGGTGAGTAGAGCTAAACTTCCAGTATCAATGGTGTCTTTCTACATGTCTGCCAGTCTCCAGGTGTTCAGGGTGAAAAGCTGGATAGACTGCTCAAGGAGGAAGCTTTTCGGATCACGGAAACTAATGAGTCCCAAGAGAGATGGGGAGTCAATGTAGAGGGTCAGTGTCTTCATATATGCAGATTCAGAGAAACAAATTTTTAAAGGGGGTTTTAAGCATATTAATAGCTTGATAGATGATTCACATTCTCAACAGTGGCTTCAAAGTAATTGTTCTCACGGTCCATTTGCTAAACGTGTCATTGTAGTTCCTGTAACCATATTTCTCCTCTCATTGGTCAGAAACGGAGGCATCAGGTGTGCCGGGGCCCAGTAAACGTTACGGTGACCAGAAGATCCCAAAGTGTCACGTGAACTGGGAAGCTGGCTTTGACCAGAGGCCACAATCAGGCCATGGTGGTCACTCAGGTGACCCATCTGAACCCCCTTTCCAGAGCAGGTATGGTATGGAAGACTTGGGTGGCTTTGACAAGACTGGCTATGGAGACGGCAGTATGATAGACATGGGTAACTTGGATGGTTTACAAGGATCACCATCCCACCTGGGTGAGGATCTGAGTTACATGGGACACTATGAGGGGGACGTGGAAGCACCGGAAGAAACCGAGCATCAAACTTACCAAGCAGGCGTCGCACGGAATAGAAGCGGTGCACTTGGTTCACCTGAAGGCTCTCCCTCAAGGACTAACATCGACGTAAGTGGTGAGTTCAGCTGTTTATTGATCAATGAAGAAGGGTATCTACAGGACCAGAGTGTCTTGTACCCCGAACAAATGTCTGGTGAATTAAGCGGCAGGTTGAGCCTCCGGACCCAGGGCATTCGCACTGACCCATCTTTAGACAGCACAGGCGATATGTATGGACCCTCACATGCATACAGTGATACCTTAAACCTGGGAGAGCGGTTGCAGCATCCGGCAGGAGGGAGAGGAGGGAGGAGACACACCTGTAACCAGTGCTCCATATCCTTCCCTGATTCCGCCTCACTAAAGGTCCACAAGCAGACACACAAAGGCACGGGTCAAGTGCCACAATACTCCTGCAACCAGTGCGGAAAGACTTTCACTCAAGCCTGTAACCTCAAAGTCCACCAGAGGATTCACTCTGGGCAAGGGCTTCACCTCTGCAGCCACTGTGGTAAAAGTTTCCCGTCGTTCTCTGACCTGAAGTCCCACAAGTGTGGACAAACAGGTGACAAACCTTACTGCTGCACTGTATGCGGGAACAAGTTCAGCCGTCTCTGGAATCTGAAGTTGCACCGGAGAATTCACACACAGGAAAAACCTCACCAGTGCACAATGTGTGATAAGAGCTTCACACGGGCAGACATACTGAAGGTTCACCAGCGGACCCACACAGGGGAACGCCCATACTGCTGCGCTGTCTGTGGCCTCAGCTTCAAACGCCTGGATCATCTGAAATCGCATCAACGCAAACACATGACAGATCTATAAAACTAGGGACATTTTGGGAGAGCGAATAAGAGAATTTAAGCTTGTTTGATGTACTAAGAGATTTAAAAATGAATGCTTTTATATAAGAACCATGGCTGTTTTTTTTAAAAAAAACACAAAGCCCTGTTTTTATTTCTTCTTTTCAATTCCAAGTCCTTGGGTTTTAATTAAAATGTTTTTGTTGGTATGAAAAAGAAAACATACCCATTTTTGTGTTTGATAAAATACATCTTGTTTGTTGCCCATTTGTTGCTGCATATTTTATTACTGAAAAATTGACTTATAAAAGAGGCTGAGTGACATTATCCTTGTACTTACATTACCGATTCAAAATAAAACTACAAATGATGTCTGTAGATGTTTTCTATAAATGAAATAATTGAGGCATTTGCATTTTTAAAGGATTACTTTCATTTGTCCAATTCTTTTTCTAATTACAGTCTACAATTGACTATAAAGTGAATCCCATGTGGCAAAAGGAAAAACGGGTAAAATTCCTTTACTACAGAACACCCCTAAATAAGTCATACAAGTACATCAACCATTGCCCCGATGTATTATAATGCATTAATCTCAAATGTATATAAGTCAATCAGGCATTTTCATTTGTTTGCCAAAGAGGAAGTAGGGAAAATCAAAGTGGAGCATGAGCTTAAAATTAGAGGCCAACCCAGTGCTGAGCCCTGTTGTTACATATGAGTGCGACAGTAAAGACACATCCGGGTAGCATGATCAAGAGTTTGGAAAATAACAAGGGAAATATTTGTAGGGCTCTGAAAAAAATGATTACTCTAGTTGACATTCCAGTGGTTTCTCGTGTTCATTAGAGAGCTGATCAGAAACCTACTAGCAGGTGGTTTAGAGGACATGATGCAGTTTGGATAGAAGTCAGAGGTGTCACAGAGGCATCTTCATATCTTATCAGGCCTCATCTCAGAAAAAGGACTGATCAGAAGTCACCTTCTTGTTGCTAGAGGAGGAAGAGAGGCAGGTCAAGAGAATAAAAGGGAAATATCTGTGGTTGGAAACATTTTGGAATTTAGAGAGGTAAAATACTGATTAATTAATAAAGTAGTCAAAGATGTTTAAGAACATCCATCAAAGCAACTTATGTATGTTGCCTAACAGGAAAGGCTTTTTGGACCTCCATAGGACCAGCAGAGTCTCTGTGGTGTCTGCATGTTCTTCCCACGGTTGTACAAGGTGTCTGGGTGTTCCAGATTTCTGATGAAAATGTTTCTGTCGACCAGTGGCCATTGTCTCTTACAAACTACTAAATGTAATAATTGGAGAGTTAATGCACATGATAATTTTCATCAAGGGGATACAAAGTTAACATATCTAGAATATGTGGTAACATAATATCAGTAGGCTAGTATCAAAAACTGGAACTCAATCATAGGCATGATCTATTTTAAAATGGGTATAATCTCACTGTTTGCCGTCTTTCAATGAAGCAGTGAAGGAGAGAGAGATCGTGTCGATTCATCCCTGGTGTAAACAACAGCACTTACTGCTTGGCGCAGCCTATGGGTTTCCCTTTATTAAAACGCGTTTTGTTATTCACACACACTCACAGGTAAGGCCACCGTACTGCGCTGCGAATGATGTCACGAGCAAAAACAACCACCACCAGCGATTGTTACAAAGCTAGCTCGGTGAAATGGTGAGTTCACGTGAATTTGCTCTGCCGAACAGTTGTTTCTCGTGGACTACATAAACCCAGGTGTAAACAGATCAACGCGCTTGGCTCGACTATGGTTTATATGAAGTGTAAGTTAGTCGTGTACGATTTGTTGACAGTTTGACGCCGTCAACGTTAGTTAGCATGCGAATGCTACCGTCAAGCTAAAGAGTCACATTAGCTGGCTAGCTGACAGTCGTGTCAGTAAATAGCTCGTTGGGCATCACCAGTCCAACCTTTTAACGTGTATTATTGAAGGAATATCTGTGTATTGTCCATCAGCTGGAGCACCTACAACAACAAGTGGACGCATAGTTGAAAAGGGACTGCTCTGCGATAATGGTGCTCAACCCAAACAACCTGTGGTAGCATTTACCAAGAAAATACTTAATGTGGAGTTCTTATCCTTCACTTTTCTTTAATTAGTCATCAAACACACGGAATTCCGTTGTCAGACACGAGACCCTGGCAGTGTATCATGTCGGACCTGGACACCCTCGTTGTGACTTTCCAGACCCAGCTCTCAGATGTGATGGAGACTGTGGTAAAGACGGCCATGTATGAGGTCACCAGGTTGGTGGAGGACGGCTTACTGGAGGAGGTGAAGCGCAGGAGCCAGGAGGTGGAGTCCCTGAGGATGCAGCTGCAGTGGGCTGAGAGAAAGTTATGTGACCAAGCGGAGAAAGAAAGAGGGAAAACTGGCAAGTGTGTTGACTGTGCAAAGGATGATGTGGAACTGTCCAGTGACGCTGCAGAAGAAAGGCCCAAAGAACAGCAGGATGGTAAGGACAAACTTATTATTATTTGGGTATAAAGCACTGTTTGATGATTATATGTACTTCAGTACTTCTTTTTTTTCAGTCATTTTAAGAGGCTGTGGTGTGAAGAAAGAGGATGCCTCTGTGGAAAGGTGGACAAGAAGCCTAAGACAGGAAGTCCTACCAGAGTTACCACAGGCAACAGACAGTCCTAGAGCCACTCACAGCCCTGAGAGGAAAACACAGGTGGGTCACAAGACTAGAGCAGAATTGCTGTCAACAATGCTACATCAACGTTGTTGTACATCAGGTGTTATGCATATCTGCTCTGACGGGAACATTCTTCAGAGCATCCAACCAACAAATCAAAATGAAACCATAGTCAGAATTATCTGATGTATTTACTGTGCTGTTCAGACAATGGGAAGAAGAAGATGTGTTGCCAGCAGTGGATGTGAAGGAAGAAGAAATGAATAACCCATCTTGTTCTTCTGTGCATTTGGGAGGGTGGAGTGGAACCCTTGATGGTGAGTATTGTGTCGCCCAGGTCCATTGTTTTCTTGGCATATGAAGTATGGACATTTATCTGTGTATTGTGAAGAAATATGAAACGTGAATTCAAAAGATATGATTTCCTTCACTTAGTATTTTCTTAATACAGTGACGCACCACTGTCCCACACACTTACCGTAACATTTTTGCTGTTTAAAAAGAGCTGACTGAGCCACATTTGACAGGAATTAATTTGCCACTGCGCTTGTATAGATAGAAAGGTTAATATCCTCTCCCGCTGGCAGCTTCTCAAATTTGTGTTGTTTATGTAAAATTTTGTCTTAATAAAGAGTACTTTTCAGTATTTCCCACAGAATGACTGTGGCAGTGGGTTATATTTCTATTTTTAGTATTTCTTATTTCACCATTTTAATTCTACTTCATTTTCTATTCCACACACACACCCCTACACCTCTGGTCTGTTACTGCAAACACACAGGCTTGCCCCACCTCTGTCTCTCCCTGTATGGTTCTGCTCTGCTGACTTTCTCTGTCAGCAGTATGTTTTATAAAGTTGCAGAGAAGACACAAACCCTGTCTTTTGGATTTTTCCACCGGCGAGTCTATTTTCACAGCAGCAGGTGCACCGCATGTGGAGGAGGCTTGTTGTTCATGAACTAGCCTATGAATATTAAAATGATCAAAACCAACGTGGTACTAAATGACATCTGCGCTGGTGTGTTCACTGCTGCTTTACCTGGTCTGTGCTCATAAAATATCTGAAGTAAAGTGTCCGTGTCATGTAATGTAATACCAGATAACATCTGTCTTTGTTTCTCTGCAAAATGCTACAATACGACAATGTCGCGAAATACAGTGGGTACGGAAAGTATTCAGACCCCTTTAAATTTTTCACTTTGTTTCATTGCAGCCATTTTCCAAAAATCAAGTTTTTCAAAGTTTTTTATTTTTCAGTAATGTACACTCAGCACCCCATCTTGACAGAAAAAAAACAAATGTAGAAATTTTTGCAAATTTATTAAAAAAGAAAAACTGAAATATCACATGGTCATAAGTATTCAGACCCTTTGCTCAGTATTTAGTAGAAGCACCCTTTTGATCTAATACAGCCATGAGTCGTTTTGGGAAAGATGCAACAAGTTTTTCACATCTGGATTTGGGTATCCTCTGCCATTCCTCCTTGCAGATCCTCTCCAGTTCTGTCAGGTTGGATGGTAAACGTTGGTGGACAGCCATTTTCAGGTCTCTCCAGAGATGCTCAATTGGGTTTAAGTCAGGGCTCTGGCTGGGCCATTCAAGAACAGCCACGGAGTTGTTGTGAAGCCACTCCTTCGTTATTTTAGCGGTGTGCTTAGGGTCATTGTCTTGTTGGAAGGTAAACCTTCGGCCCAGTCTGAGGTCCAGAGCACTCTGGAAAAGGTTTTCGTCCAGGATATCCCTGTACTTGGCCGCATTCATCTTTCCCTCGATTGCAACCAGTCGTCCTGTCCCTGCAGCTGAAAAACACCCCCACAGCATGATGCTGCCACCACCATGCTTCACTGTTGAGACTGTATTGGACAGGTGATGAGCAGTGCCTGGTTTCTCCACACATACCGCTTAGAATTAAGGCCATAAAGTTCTATCTTGGTCTCATCAGACCAGAGGATCTTATTTATCACCATCTTGGAGTCCTTCAGGTGTTTTTTAGCAAACTCCATGCGGGCTTTCATGTGTCTTGCACTGAGGGAGGCTTCCGTCGGGCCACTCTGCCATAAAGCCCCAACTGGTGGATTGCTGCAGTGATGGTTGACTTACTACAACTTTTCCCATCTCCCGACTGCATCTCTGGAGCTCAGCCACAGTGACCTTTGGGTTCTTCTTTACCTCTCCCACCAAGGCTCTTCTCCCCCGATAGCTCAGTTTGGCCGGACGGCCAGCTCTAGGAAGGGTTCTGGTCGTCCCAAACGTCTTCCATTTGAGGATTATGGAGGCCACTGTGCTCTTAGGAACCTTAAGTGCAGCAGAAAATTTTTTGTAACCTTGGCCAGATCTGTGCCTTGCCACAATTCTGTCTCTGAGCTCTTCAGGCAGTTCCTTTGACCTCATGATTCTCATTTGCTCTGACATGCATGTGAGCTGTAAGGTCTTATATAGACAGGTGTGTGGCTTTCCTAATCAAGTCCAATCAGTATAATCAAACACAGCTGGACTCAAATGAAGGTGTAGAACCATCTCAAGGATGATCAGAAGAAATAGACAGCACCTGAGTTAAATATGAGTGTCACAGCAAAGGGTCTGAATACTTATGACCATGTGATATTTCAGTTTTTCTTTTTTAATAAATTTGCAAAAATTTCTACATTTCTGTTTTTTTCTGTCAAGATGGGGTGCTGAGTGTACATTACTGAGAAATAAAATG